TTTGTTTAGAGTCTTCCCCTTTATGTGCAGCTAAGCAAGTTTTAAAACACTTGATAATGTTTTAAACAAAAGTAAAACCACAATGTCAATCAAGTAAGAAAAAACCCCATCTGATCCAAAATGAATGTAGGTGTTTTTTTGACTCACCAGAAAGTGTTGATTTTTTTTCCTTTTCAGCATGACTGAAACCAGCTCCTCTCTTGCTTTCTCCTGATTTTTTGGGATTGGCAGTAAGCCAAAACCTCATTTGCCTAGCTGTAGAAGGCATCGTTACTCATCAGCATGGTTAGATGGGGAATAGCTGAAAAGTTGGGTGCTCCAGAGATCAGTATTAGACCTGAACTTATTTAACATTCTTACTAATGATCTGAGATCATATGCGTACTCTTATATTATTTGTATTCATTGACAGCACTCAGATTCAGAAGGGTTGTGAACCCCAGTGGGGAGAATGGGAGATTGAATAAATGGACAGAAGATTAATATCCTTTCAAATTGATCCAATTAAGGATGTTCATTTCAAAAAATGCTAGTTAATAGAGCTGAAGAAAATAGCCCCAAATGCACATGTTAGCTAAAAAAACCCACTCAGCGATGGTGCTCAAAAAATATGGGATACTGAGTGGCCACAGACTGGAAAGGAGCCTGGACTGCAATGTAATGGCAAAATGCATCTCACCTATTTGGGCTGAGCAATTACTACAAATTATTTCAAAAATCAGACAGACTCATGGGTAAAGGGCCGTCAAATATTTTCATTTTCAAAGTTCTTGATACAATCACCAGGTCAGAGGTCAGGAGGTGTCTACAGACTGCCAGATACCATCAGGAAATGCTCTTATTTTTTTATTTACTCTTTCTATGTGCTACTTTAATTCATCTGGTGTGAGCCATTGTTAGGAACACTCTTATAAGACCCTTCTGGTTTAGTCCAATAGGACTGCTTTTATTTCCCTGTGAACGTCCCTGTTTCCTGCAAGCTGAGGGTTCATCTTCAATAGGGCATCAGTAAAATCATGCTCATATGGGCGGCCCAAACCAAGAGAGAAGCAGGGCCAGAGATGGTGGCATCCCATGAATGAAGTAACCTGTGACCAGTAGCAGAATAAACTGCAAAAGAAAAATTTTAACACTGGGAGTAGCCAGGGCTGGAGGAAGACACCCTGTCATTACATGTTCAGACCATTTCTGGAATCCCGTAAAAGTGTAAGCGATATTTGCTTTTGTCTGCTTTACTGGAAAAGCAACATCTATAGCAAGCAACCAGCAAATGGGTTTAGTAGGCCTTCCCCATATTTAACCTCTCCAGTAGTTGTCTTCTACCTTTGATCTTGCTCAAAATCAATGAGCTCCCCTAATCAATGAAGAACAGTGCACATAGATTGAAGGCAGCCTTATGTGATTCTTTGAAGCTCCCAAATGTCAACTGAAACATTGTAAAAACTTTTCCGAGAGTATTTATTGGCTCATCATTTATAATGAGACTGGTATAGAGAGTCAAAGATACAGATCATAATGTCATAATGTGTTTGGAGCACAGATCATAATGTGTTTGGAGCACTTATGTAAGTCCTGCAGAAGGCCGTGAGTCAATATTTCTTATGGATGCATAATTGATAGCTGAGAACAAGGATCAATTTTCCAGTGAGCATGGGAGGAGTGCTTACTCACCTTTTCATAGTTTTCATGCCTCCAGGATCACTTCAGCTTTAAACAATAATCTGATGAGGGCTTTTCCCTCACTTTTATTTTTTAATTCTTATTCTTTAAATTCCAAATATCTTCTTCTTTCCTTCTCTGTCATTTACACCAAACCAAAACCTTTTCATCTCAAACTAGTGGCCTCAATTTTTCCCCTGAGCTGTGACTACTGAATGGCCTTGTGTGCCTCTGATGTGACCACCCCTCCATCTCCTTCCCAGGAGCTAACGGCAATGTCACTGTGAGTACTGCCTGTCAGGAGATTCCATAAGAGATGTCCCTAAACCAGTGCCAAAGTCCCCACTCAGTGGCAGGGCAGATACCCCCTGGGTGACAGGCTGTATGTTGTGTGGTGGCAGCAGGCGCTGAAGTCCTCTGCAGGGCACAGACACTGCTCCCTCCCAGCGCAGCCAGGGTTTGCTGGGGCAGGTAAACACAAACAAAGAAGAAAATTATCCACTGAAGAGATGAGAACATATTCTTATCCTGAATCATCACACTGCTTTGCACTTGCCCATTTTGTGTGGAGTTGTGATTTTCTTTTATGGCTGGGTCTAACCCAGCACTACTGGGATGCCCTTAAGATGCCAAGCCCCATTACAGGTTAGTAGCTTCAAGCCAATGTTACTATAAATATGATAAAATGTGCCTCATGTATAGGGCACAAGGAAGGGCCAGAGTGTAACAAAGATCTGCAAGGATAGAAAGGAGAGTTTTGCTTCCCTGTGTGCTGTGTCTGCCACTCCAGCTCCTGTTCTGCAATGAGCACAGGGGACAGTTTCCAAATTGCAGGAGACCCTGAGACTGCTTGGAACTAGCAGTAGGTCTTTATCATGACTAATGTTTCATAAATCTTAAGCCTAAAATAAATGGCGTGACAGTCCTGAATGTCAGGAATCAGGAGCTATAGCAGTTTGTTCACAGAAACTGTGTATGTGCATTCCAGAATGTAGCTGGCAAAACCTCTCTATTATTTGTTCTGGCTGTACATTGTTTATACTTTTCTTCCTGTTTTTGAAAATAGAAATTATTGTCTCAGTGGCTAGATAAAATATTTCTCTTGCAAAAGAAAGCACTGGTTGAAGAGAAGCACTTTAATAATTTTGTTTTATTTCTTTCAGCAAAGGAGAATAGGAGAGATTTCTGGGACCTTTCAGATTAATATTTAATGAACTACCTGAGAAAAGGTTTCAACAACAAATGGCTGAAATGGGAGATAATGTGGTGTGATGCACTAAATGCACTTTGGGAGTGAGTTAGTTCATACTCTCTCTTCCACCCGACCATTACAAACCAGGTAGGGCCAGCTCCTAACAGCCTGAGTCTCTGCAGCCAGTATGAGGCATTATTGAAGCCAACCACAAAACAAAACAATTGTCTCAGTCATTGGCCCTCCAGAATTGGAGTATATTTGGCGACAAGGCTAAATCCTTATGGAGTGAACTGCAATTAGTCATGGGAGTGAGCACACCAAGGCTGGTGAGACTCCCAGCATGAGTGAGAGGGAGGGAGGGCTCCTGACCACAGGAGCAGGTGCTGCAGATCCAGGGGGAATGTGTCCTCCTGGGACCCTCACTGCTGCACAGGAACCCCTTTTCTCCAGAATGCTTGGCTGAGGTATTGTGGCAAACTGAAAGCCAGAGCAAGGAGGTGGTGTGAGGTACAAAAGTAATTCTCTGGGTCCATTGTTAAATCAGAAATACAGCAGGGTTAAAAGATAATGAGGTTATACAGAGTGAAAATGCAGAGGACTATGTTTATCAGTTTGTACTTTTTTCTACTGTAAGACCCCATTGCATCCTGTGAGGGCAGACAGGGGCAGATGGAAATCCTCCAGCTCCTAAATCTGCCAAGGAAGCAGCTGAGAGAAGTCTCCTATCAGGTTTATTTTCTTATTTTCTGAAATATTCCACATTTTTAGTATGACCTTAGTTTATGCACCTAACCAAGGACATAGCCAGGTTACATTCCTTATGCCCAAACTTCCCCTAAAGACACACCTTATCCTCATCATTGCTGTCCATTGCACTGACACTGACAGTAGGCAGTATGGCTGCTATTGTCACCTATCACAATATCATGACATGTCATCCATCATGATATACCAACCAGTTCCTCAGGCAAGCTGAGGGCCCTGGAACTCCATGTTTTCACTGAGATCCACACACAGCAGCTGGCATCAGAATGGCAGCTGAATGCCACCAATATTGACAACATTTTGTTGCTGCTGCTGTAAATTAGAAGCCTGAAGCATTTAAAGGCCGTCTGAGTGCAAGCAGTGTAAGTTTGCACCAAATCACAAGTGTAACTCATCAGTGTAATAAGCCAAGAGACACGCATTTGTAAAGTTTTGCTGCACATAATCCTTGTCTGATTTCCTGATGTCAGAGGGGAAGGGCACAGACATTCCCTTTCTGTAGCTTGTGCCCAAATGGAAAGACAGGGTATGGCAGCTCACCCACAGCAGCCATTGAAAGGGGCTCTTTCACCTGCTGTGCCAGGGGATCTGCTCGGGCCATAAGATCAGCCAAGCTCAAACAGTGTCCTCAGCGGATGTGAACTCTTGCCACTTCAGTGAAGCCAAAGGATGAGGTGGTTTTGCATGAGATGAGAATCCACCTTCCTCCACATTCCAATTTATTACAATGATTTTGGATAAAAACAGAGGGAAATTCCCATAGTCAGAGGGGAAATGTTTTCTTCTCTATCTCTTCCACTGCCAGTGGGCACTAGCAGCTCTCTGGCCAGACAGAAAGGCAGTGATTTAAACAAAAAATACGTGTAATAATAATGTGTTTTTTCAGTGCACAGATTCTCTTCTCCAGTGCTGACAGAAGAACTGTAGATTGTATATTGGCAGAACCAAGGACCATCTGCACTGATTTTTGCCAGTAATTTCCCAGTGCTCCTGGCAGAGAAGGAGCTCTGGGGATGTGGTTCATCTTACAGGCGGACTGTACACCAGATGTCTTCTCCCACGCTTTTCACCAGGTGCTCCAGCTGCACAGAAGTGTTGGGTGAGGAACACCCACAGTCCCTAAAAAGATTGATGAATCTCTATAGACCAAGAGAGAGGAAAATTTTGACATCTGTGCCCTCCTGAGAGGCCAGAGGTGGAAGGCAGCAGTTGCTGTAGATATCAGGTGAATTATGATTTCAAAGGAAGTTCATGGGAAGGTCACAGAGCAAAATCAGAAGTTATTTCCACCACAGAGAGTGATGAAGAGGAGCCAGCATTTCTTTCCTCAGCTTTTTCCTTCTTCACAAATGCAGGAACTAATATTTTTTTTTTTCTCCAGGTTATTGTTACAGTAAATCCTCGAGACCAAAACTTTGGAAAAAACCCACTCTGCCTCTTGGGAAATTTCCATGGCAATCATTCCTTCAGTCTCCTTGTGCCGTTGGCTTCGTTTGAGGTGACGTCCACTCTGGTGGCTGTGGAGCGGCCCTCCCTTTCTCCATGTCAGTTCTGATTGCAAAGCCACATCAAGCAAACCAGAAGACCAGCAGCTTCCATGAAAATATTCCCACTGACTTCAAAGGACTTTGGGTCCAGCCTCACACAGTGGTCAAACCCTAGACATAGCAGAGCAACCAAAACAACTCCTGCACATGGCTGCAGCTGCAGGCACACATAAAAGACAGTAGAGACACATGGCTAATGCATTTCAACTCGGACTGCACCCCAAAATACTTACCCTTGTGGTTGCAGATGTTGTACCTCCAGATGCACATGTGCATAGAAATATACACACATATATGTATGTTTTGGTGCATTTAAAATAGTCTATTATGTAAATCATGAGATTTATGTCACCAAAATGCAGGTCTAAGGCAGCTACTGTACCTTACAAAGAATCTTCATAAAAACATTTTCATAGTGGCATTGCTCAGAGAAGCTGGTGGAATGACGACCTGGTGCAGAGACAGCAAGGAATGTCACAGCGAGTTGGTGACTCAAAGGCATCCCTTGCCCCTGTGCCAGCAGCACAGAAGGCCATGGAGCCACACCACTGCATGCCAGCTGCTGGTGGAGACTCTGCGGTCCAGCAAAGGGGCTGCTTTGGGGCTCTTACCTCTGGATTTGGCTTTAACTCTGTTTAGAGGATATATTCCATGCAGGAAAGCTCCTTACTCTGTGACAGTGAAGGGCATTGCATCCTAAAAATGCTGCAAGCCCCTCTGCAAAAAGCAAAAAGTACACATTCATCAGCTACACACACATCTGTGATTTTGAAAGGTTTAAAAGGAAAGAATTATAGTGAACTGAACTGGGAGATATGTTCAATCTGAGTCTATTATGGCAGTAGCTCCACTGCAGGTTTTATACTAAGAAATCTGGCTTAGCAGTCTGAAGCACCAAAATGAAAGAGATTTTTTTTTTTTTTTTTTTTTTTTTTTTAATCTACCAATCAGTTTATTTTCAGGATAGAAACTTCTCTTTGAGTTTTCAGGGAACTATCAGAGGGTGCTTTGGTCACTGGGAAGCAGAAAAAGAGCAAATGTTTTATACCAGCCACTCTTTCTCACTGCTGATGCAAAATCATGGTATACTCAAAGCACTTGTCTAGGATATAGCCATGCTCCAGGAAACTTTATGTAGAGTTATTCTGCTTGGGGAAAAATATGAGGTTGAGGTTTAGGTCTGCATCCATAGTGAATAAGATATGATCATTTTTGTATATTCCAGAATTTATGAAGAGTGGGAAAAAGAAGACAGTAAATGTGATGTGCAAAGAATAGGGTATGTTAATTGTTTTAATGAATGTTTCTTTTTCATTGTGGTGCGCTGTTCCTATCAATATTGTTGCAAAGCAGTTTCTCTTTCCCTGATTTGTTGTCAAAGGTAACAGTTTCATCCATTTCTTTCACATCATTTGAAGTTGAAATCTTCCATCCTGTGTCTACCAAGTTTGGCTGCTTTTGTTTGTTTTTAAGTTTTGGAAAAATTACTTGAGCTTTCACATTTGACATAGGATGACTGAACATTGTTCTTACTGGCTGGCAACAGCTCCTCATAACAGTGACTTGTGTCTCAGAAAACAGGGAGTGCTGACAGATATCTCCACTAAAGTGTTTAAACTGCAGTACAGAAAATTGGTTCTCTTCAATACATCAGCGGATAGGGGGTCTCAAAGAAATAGCTTGGGGAAAAGGAATATTTAGTATGATTTTGGATAAGATTATTTTCCTACTCTGTTTTCCTAGGAGAGGTGCCAAATACCAACCCAGCCATGAAGTTCAGACCAGAAGTCGGGATACAGCTCTTCCCAGCTGGTACAACTTGCTGTGTGAACCTGGCAAAGTCAATTAACCTACCCACTAATTTTTTGTCTGTAAAAATGCAGATGCTTTTAAAAATGAGTGATTGAGCCGAAGTCCAGGCACATTCAAGGAAAGACAACTGTTGGCTGAAAGATCAGGCTTGTAAGTCTCACGGGTGTGGCGAGACATGATTCAATAGCATTTGCAAATATCTCTGAGGTTCTCAAATGTAGGATGATCTGAGCAGGTAAAGAATTCCAGTGACAACTTCTAATGAATGCATACCTATTAATTCTATCACCTCCCCTCCCTTTTTCATGTCGAAGTAGCAATAAGAATGAGATTTAAAGTATTTATTGAGTGGTTGAGAAAGCCAACCTTTGACTCTGTGCCTTAGAGCAGTGCCTGGGGCAGGCAGTAATTGTGCAGAAAGGCACTGATAGCATGTCTTCTTATTGCTTAAGAAAAGTGCTTTTCCAATTTGCTTTGTTCACTGCGTTGCTGTACCAGACACAAGATTCACAGCTATAAATACTATGAGCTATATATAAATACATATATATACACAGAGACTGTGACTCAGACACATTACCAGCACACTACAGCCCAAGACAGTACAATTGAAAAAAATAAAAAGAAAATGAGATTTCATAGTTTTTAATAAATAGAGCCTGATTCCAAAATCACTTTTGCAGGGCTTGTTCGTATGAGTAGTCAAACCTAGTGAGAATAGAGTGGCTCATAAGTGCAGAAATTTGCACCAGACCTGTAAATTGAATTGTGTATTCAGTAGGGTTTGGAGTTGCATATCATATTGATTTTTCAAGATAAGAATAGGAACTGAGATTGTAGAAATTGTATTCATATTTTCAGACCTGAAAAGTTTTGTTATTTATTGATTGATGGGAATTTCCCAGTGTGCAGTGATTGCCTTTGTGCTACAGACTCACTCAACCTGTCTACAGTCCTTCAACTGAGATTGACAAATTTGGCGGGGTTTTCTGCACCTTGAAGAATTCCAGACAATTTGGAAATTGTCACTGAATTGACCAAAGAAAGATGGATCTCTGTCTCATCCATCATGCTGTGAGGTGGGCTAGTGCATGCACTTCAAGTTCTTTTGAATCTGCACATGGGGTTGTGTTCTTCCTTTTCCTGGCTTGCTTTAGGTTAATTTCTACAGTTAGGGACTCAATGTACACATTTGTGATTATACATCTATATACACTGTCATCTCCTGCTATATAATTTAAACCCACAATGTATAATTAAATGGTTTTTACCCCTGTGTCTGACAATAAATGTGAGAATAGCAACAGGAGACAGACATTAAAAGCTATAAATACATTCAAGATAAACCAATTTAATAATATAAATGCATTTCTGAAGCCATACTCCAAATATTGTAGTTAAAGTGTCCCATAAAACAGAGTGAGCCACATACACCATTTGACAAAGTTTCTGAAATGCAAGCAGATTTTTACAACTTTTTGTTACAGTATTCCAAACATTACTGTGATCTTAATTTCAGAATAAGCAAATGGAGTTGCTGATCTTGCCCCTCCAAAGGCTATTTAGGAGAAGCTTTCTGAGCTTACTATATAACAAACAACAGGGGTAAAGTCAATCAGTAAAGCTTATCTGCTGCCCACTTTGAGAGCCCTCAGATATGTGTTGTCAACTGAAGTTACAAATAGATGTTTCTGAGGAAAAAAATCTGGATTTCAAGCGCAGCAAAGAGGTACAAATTCTGTTCTCAGTGAATAAGGAATGGCTCAATTTACTATACATTACATCAAGACATAAAGATCAATATATTTTTTCTTAGTTTTTCTTCGTGCAGTATATTGCAAAATTTGGCTTCACTTCTCTGTATTCCAAGTTATGTCTGAATATTTCAGCAACCACAACAAACGTATATCTTTATTGCTTGTACAGATCTATTTGCAGCACAACTCTGAAAGAGCAAGAGAACTAGGTGGCAAATACCAGCTCTTCTTTCTGAGGTGAGGTGGACAAGAAACAGCGTAGTTAAGACCCACCCAGCAAAGAATCGTTTTGCCAAAGAGCAAGGAAAATAAGAAAATCCATAACATTTGGTAACCACCGTCTTGGAGACATCAAAATTAAATTTATGGGGTTTTTTTCAGTATGTTTGGTGACCACATGAAGGCTTCTGACTGGCCTTTCAAGCAGCATGGCCATGGAACCACTACGTTGAATATATAGGGTACTGTGCATGGTGATCATCACAGCATTGCCATGCCCTCTCTGACTGATCATGTTATTTCAGTGGTTTATAAGCCATAAGTTCAGAGTCTGAAAGGGCCAAATTGTAGCATTCAGGCTGTGCTGACTGCCTGGAATGACTTGCCTTTTCTGAAGATCTCAGAGAGCTTCAGGCTGAGTACAGCCAAGCCTTCATTTCCCAACCCCTTTCTCCTCATGAGAAGTACAACCTAAGAATTTGGCATGACAGACTACTGCCTTTTTCTAATTTATGAGCAGATTTATGAGCCATAGGCTAAAGATGCTCTAATGGGTGAAAGTCATCATTCAACAGTCTCTTATCATTGAGAACAAAAATCAGACCTTCATTGGTTTTGAACTGAGACTCTAGAACCAGCTACAGTACTCAGGCATTCAATAATATATCAATATTTTAAATCTGGGTGATACCGAAATAAGTGATACTCTCTTGTTTGATAGATATATTAGAGGAGGTGAATCTTTTCCTATTTCTTCCCAATTTTCTCTGTCTTGACAAATGCATGGCAAGAGAGAATCCATGTTGCTTAGCAACTCCTTAGGATGCAGAAAGAAATCAGTCAATACAACTCTGAATTAAAGCTGCAGTGACCCACAGAAAATTTTTCTAGAGAAAAACAAGAATAGCTAAATATCCTCCATCTTTATCCTGAAGTCACATTAGCTTATGAGTCAAACTCTTTAAAACCAAGAATGATGGAGAAAGATATGTCTTTCTGAGGTGGAAGAAGGGGACTTATTTATTGTTGAGGTCTTAAGAGAAGGAACTCATTTTAAATTCTAGCAATGCTGGTTTTTTTAGTTAAGGCTGAGAGTGGATTTTTCCATTTTGACACAAATCATTCATGAGCCATGTCATGATTTCAGTCATGGGAGACTCTGGATTAATTCCTCCACTTGTTTGAATTGTCGTTGATTACATTGGTATTACATCAATCATCTGATGTGGCACCAAAACAAAGAAAGACAAGATTATTACTGTATGTAAGGTTATGCATCCAGCTGTCAGCAGAGCACTTGCACCAAGCCTTCAACAGCGGAGGTAAAGTACGGTCCTCTTAGTCCATGAGTGAACACACAAGCCACAGAGTCCTCTTTCTGGTGCTGGAGGGTTGACTGAGCATTTTCATGATGTGTTTATTCCCCAAACATGACCAGCAGTCCTGCAGAAATCAACAAGATGATCAGGGTTTGTGAGCATTCCCATCAATGCTAACAGGTTTCTGAGTATTCAAAACTAGTAATAAATGTGACTTCCTAGAAATCCAAGAGAGATAAATTTAGCTCCTTTACTCACAGTAGTATTCATATACTAATTTAGTTTTTTTTTTTATCACTTGACCAGAACTCATCTGAATTTTCAGTAATGCAGGATTTGGTTGAACTTGTCAAATAACAAAGGAAAGTAAGTACATGAGGAAAAAGTTGCTGTTTTCATTCAACAAATTGCAAAGCACAGGCTGACTTAGCAGCTACTCTTTGGAAATTGCAACATGCAAGAAAAAGTAAGAGAAACAAGTCTCATGATCACTTTTCAGACCATCTATTGCTTTCTGTTGCCAAGAAACAGACAGGAGAGAGCTTTCTCTCTCCTTTTTCTCTTTGGGACAGCATTAGGATTATTAAGATCACTGCTCCTACAGTAATGCTTGTGTCTCTAGTTGCATTACAATATATTAATATGTCTTCTAGTTTCCTGTGAATTTCTAAGGCAGTCCCAGTGTTAAGGTTACTTTAAGCAGCCTCATTGGCTTCAAGGAATGCTGAGGCTTTATCAGCAGTGGTTGTCACAGTGAGAAGCACCTGGAATAGCAATTTTATTGAGTGTCCCATGGCCATATTAATATATTTCATATTTCATATATTACATTTGTCCTCATCATTCACACTGCTTTTTTCTGTGACACTTCTACTTGTGTTAGCTGTGAAGATCACACTTTGCTATATATGACAATCAGGCACAGGCTATACATGGCGTTAAATGGATTTATACTGCATTATAGTACATCTGTCATGTTTATACTGCGTGTAGAATCATGACATATAGAGAGGTTACTTCTGCTCTATGTGCAAGCTATTCAGCTATAGTTATCAGCCATGGATAATATAGAAATATGTTATGATATTAATAGAAATACTGTGTGATCTAACTTAAGATAAATATTTTCTCCCTGGTATCTATCAATATTAAAATAGTTCTGTAAGAGAAGTGAGATATTTGTCTGTTTCCATATTTACATATGTTTCCAGGCCTGTAAATATAAGAAGCTGCCTTTCCCATTGATTCTTGAATCAGATACACAAGGGAGACAGTCCCTTGCAATATCATAGTTTCCCTGATCTGAAGGAGTATAGATGCCTTCATGGTGCTGGGGGGTTTGGAGATGATTCTCACTACATGGAAACTGGCAGGGGACCCAGGGCCAGGGACCCAGGGCCTCCAATACACTGAAAATGTGTGGTGTAATATGGAGGGTGTAACCCTGGAAAGCATAAAAGCCACCCTGTAAATTCAGCCTTCTCTTTATGTGGAGGAAACAGACCCAAGCTCTCTAGGGATGTTGACTCACCTGCTTCCCTGGACAGCCTCTTCCAGTTCTTGACAACCCAGGAAGTTACAGTCTCATTCCCGTGGGATCCGCATGCCAGCATATACACACAATGTACACACACTTCTCCACAGCAGGGCCAGGGTGTTCATACAGCTTTTTGTTCCCAGCCAAATAGGTGTTCTGCCACCATTCTCAGGACAGGCTGCTCACTCTGGGATTTTCCAAGGGTTACATGGGGAGGAGTTTCCTTCCTTGAAACAACTTCACATCACCTTCAAGCCTGCATGGAGTTAAGCTGTGGCAGACACTGGCAGCTGCGGGGGGACGGACATGATGCTAGAATCTCTGCCTGTGCTTCCTCAACTTTCCCTTCACAATTAGCGCAGGAGGCATCAGGAAAGAGAGATAAGAGGCTGCAAATTATCCAGTGAGCTAGGATGGTTTTCCTTTCTTGGTGCTGAAACAAATGATGCTTAGTCTTCTGGTTAATTTGAAGGGGCCACATCTGGAAGTGTGTTATACAGCCTCAGCCTCTGTGGTGATTTACTTGAGTAAACACCTCAAGATTTAGCCAATAGAAAATGTGCCCTGCATAGCTCATTAAGAACCTAATCAGTCCCTTCTGGGTCAAATTCAAGTGGCTAATACAATCAATGTATTTATTTGCAGCAAAAAATGCTAAAGAGGCTGTAAGATATATAGGAAATATGTTCTGGGAAAATAGCATTGTGGTAACAGTACAAGGAAGAGCCTGAGCTGGTTTAGATGCATCCTAATCCCCTGCTGCTATTAGATGTTGGGATTTCTGCACCAGGGAAGAGGGAACACGAAGGGTGTCATCTAGAGGAATGATGAAAATATCTCACAGTCAAGTGACAAGAAGCCCGTGGCACATCAAATAGCAGAGAAGGACTATGCAGATAACAGCTGGCTGACAGGGGAACCGTTTTCTCTGATTGGAGGCTGTCTCCAAGGAACATGGACCGGCTCTCTGCTTACTGACCTTGAAAATGGAAATAATTTCTGAGGCAGCTTTCTCCCATTTGCAGAAGTCTAAGCACATTTGTTTCTATCAAGTGAATTTGAATGCATTTTGCTGTGATATCACAGGGAAGGGATCATTCCACATTTATCAGCATGTGTGTTTTGGTATAAACGACAGAGGTGCTTGAAAAAAATGTTTTTAATGTGTGACTTTCTCTTGTGTAAAATATGTTGAAAGGGGCTGTGGATGGAGCTGAGATTGTGAGAAACCAGGGGAGGGAGCATCCTCTGGGCTAATGTCATCTCATACCCAGTGGCTGAGGATGTGCTGGGAGCCAGGAGGGAAGGATGCATTTCACAAGAAAAAGATTCAATTCCAGGAGAATATGAGGACATCCTCACTCGGCACTCTGCCTGCTCATGTAAACAGACATGTTACAAACACAAATAGCTGTCCCCTTGTATGGCCATCTTCAGCCTCCCTTCCCCCTTACTAACAAATCTTACGGAAGCAAACTCTACCCAGAATGAATCACTGTTTTCCTGAATAGTGAACTTTTCTGTTGCAAAGTCAACAAAGTCCTGCAGGAATTCTTGGAAAATCTCCAGAGATGTGCAGAAAGAAGACAGTAATTTGTTGTCTATCATGGCATGCTTTCAGACACCCAGAGACACTACTGGGAGCTCTGCATGTCAGCAAGTCAGAGCTCCACTGCAGATTTTCTCAACATCGTAGAGCTGGGTCATTTTAATTTACTGGCTTATTCTTTATGCTCTCATTTTAGTGCTGGATATCACTGCTAAGGAAGGCAAGGTGATTGAAACATCCAGTTTGGTTTATTAAACTGAACTGCTCTCCTCCACTGATGGAGAAGTCACCTTGCAGGTACTATAGGGTAGGAATGGGCACATACTGCTGACTAGCTGCTGGCTCGGCAGGTTCACACTCTAATTTCCCCCATGGTAATTTTCCTGGTTGCTGTATCAAGCAGGATTTGTACATCCACCAGCAAGGTCCTGATGCTGGACCAGCTGCAATGCAGAGGCTGAAACAGCTTTAGCCGACTTTGCTCTGAAGCCTTAGGGAAGCTGAGCATGGGACACAAGCTCAATGTGAAGGACTAGCTCAATTTCTTGATGAATGTCTCCACTGCAGCTTCTGGTCATGAAAAACCTCTAAACCTGGCTTCTGTTACCATCAGGAAAGTAGATTTAGTAGTATAGGTAAGCTAGATTTTACTTCCACTTGGCCAGATTCTTTTGCAAGGAGAAATGAAGCTGACCATGCCTATTGACTTCCTTCTCTTCTATTCCTATCCCACAGGCCACATTTAGCTAATATTGTCAGGTCTAACTGCCTCTTTTTTTTTTTTTTTTTTTTTTTTTTTTTTTTTTTTTTATTGCAGGGAGTTATCTGCTCCAGTTTTGCTGCAGAACATTGAAACCAGCATGATACCCTCGATCTGGGGTATCCAAATCCCAATCTCTCCTCTAGAAAGGTTTACTTTTACTCTAAGTCACCTGAGGGTGAAAGGTACCATGGGCTAGGGACAAGTTCCAGCACCAGGGAAATGAGGGAAGCAAAGCTTTGGGAGAGCTGCTGCAACAAAGAAGCACCTACAAATCAGGTCCCCTTCTGACGCTCCCAGGGCAGCTGAGAAAGGGAAAGAAGGTGCAGCTTAGCCACACCAGCTACATCTGTGCACCAGGAGCACTGGAGAAGGAATGGCTCAGCCAGTGCTGGGAGGTGATGTGTGGACTGATGCTCCATGTGCTCGCAGCAGAAGTGGCCTCCCCGAGGCCGGCCACCCCCTGCCCCACACAGCACTGGGGTCTCTTCTCCACCCTGCCCCAGCAGGCTGCCAGCAGAAGAGGTGGGGGGAGAAGTGGGGAGAGGAACACAGCACTGTGGGGAAGGAGGTGTATAAATAGTGCCTGTTTGGAAGGCCAGGTGTGTCCGTCCAACTCGAGCCAAGCATAACAGGAGGCAGCAAGGAGTGTGACTTCCTCTCCAGACCTGGTTCCTGAAATTCATTTCCTCTTATGTGTTTCTGTTACTATGGGTGGGTGGATACGGAGGGAGGAAGGAAGAAAAGAAAGCAAAAATCTTCAGTTTATTCTTGGATTTCACACCCCTGAGTCTTTATTTATTTACTTTGTACCTGCGCACTTGTGCATTTCTTGTCTTGTGCATGTTTTCTGGCTGAGCCAATCTAAGCCTTTGTTTCTGCAGGATGGGAAATTTTGCCCCACTGTGTCCCACTCCACTTCCTCACTCTCACTCTGTCTATCCCTGCTGCCAGGTGCATGAGCTCCTCTGTCACCCCCATCCCTGGACCTTTCACCAAACACCAAACAGAATCAGCTCACCTTGGCAAAACCATTCCTGCTCTGGGTTAACCAAATTGGTGCAGAGCTATTTCAGCTATTTGAGGCAGAGCAGAGAGAGAGAGAGAGAGAGAGAGAGAGAGAGAATGAGAGAGAGAGAGAAAGTAGATGCTTGCAGCAAAAGTTTTCCTGTTTGATTTTGTTATATTGGCTCCCACTCTTGTGCATAATTTAACTAGCTGATATCTTGGCACATTGTTGTTTTCCAGGCTCTCAGGAGGCACATCAATTTCAAACACCACCCCTTCAGCCTGGAACAAAGCCTCAGCTCCCATGTACTTCAAGCTTTCTATTGCAAAGCTGGCCTCAGATTGAACTCTCTGAAAGAGTGTATTTGGCCAGTGATGGGGTCATATTTATGGTCATTCCTTCTGCCAACTCTTTTATGAGCATGGGAAGCTGTTATGATGAGCTCCTTGGAAAACAAGGATGTGGCAACAGAAGGTATCCCTTGTTATCCTGGAGGCAGATCCAGATATGGCAGGTGGTCTCTCTAGCCGTCTGATTCCTCACATAAAGCCAGTGCTTGTACCTGCTCACTCCTGGGAAAGCACTGATGGCATCAGGCACCCTGGCAGCTGAACAGCCTGGTAAGAAACATTCTCTTGCTTACAATGCTCAGGCAGCCAGTTCCTGGCAAGCCTGGAGCAGGTGAGCCATTCTGCTCCTGCCACTGCTCCCCCGTGGATATAGGACACATGCAGCTGGGAGCACTAGGGACAGGAGAGGTGGGATGGAGGGATGTTGCTGCCAACAGAGCAGAGGGGCCAAGTCTTTGTCCTTGTAGTGGTGGGTTTGCTGACCAGTGTGTGCATCCTACACATGCTAAACCACCTTTGTGGCCACAGCCCTGGTGCTTGGCTCCCCTTAGGGTGACCCCACCTCATCTCGCTGTGTGGGGGAGCACAAGGCCATTGTGGCTGGGCACTGTCTTCTCCATACCACACTTCTCTTGCCCTTGGGCCATGGGGCTGTTCATGCCTGTCAAAATCCTTCCTCCCCTCCAGTCGAAAGCACTTTTACAGCCTTGCTGTCACTTGATTTGCTCTCCTTTCTCTCCTCTTTCTTTCCTCCAACTTTCTGAAATAGGAACATTATTTGAAAAACAGGAGATGCAGAAGGAGGCCGTGTGGCCTCGCCAGTGCCGTGTCAGGCAAAATAAAAACTCCTGAGGAGGCGCTTCTGAGAGACTCTGAAAGAAACTGGAGCACACATGTTCCTCTTCTCCCTCTGTTTTTGTCACGTCTCTGTAATACAGTGGACATTTTCCTGTCTGCTCGGCAGGTCTG